TAGAAAAAATTGTTAAATTTTGGCCGATATCTCGAAAACTACTAATGATAAGAAAAAAATAATTACATATTCAGATTCCCTGAATCTTTTTGCATAAGAAAAATTTACTTTTCGACCAAATTGTTAATTTCTGTGACCTTGAAAAATTGAAAATATAACTCTTGTCAATGAATAATTTGACTGTTAAAAAATGACAAATTTTGGCCGATATTTTGAAAACTACTACTGATATGAAAAAACTAATTACATATTCGGAATCCTTGGACAATTTTTCATCAAGAATCTCTAATTTCGATGAAATTTAATGATTTTTGTGGCCTTGAAAAATTATAATTACAACACTTGACCAGAAAGGGTTTGACAAATTTCATAAAATTTTGGCCAAAATCTCAAAAACTATTAATAATAGACAAAAACCAGTTACATATTCGAAATCTATGGTCAATTTTACATAAGAAAAATCTAAATTCAGCTCAATTTTTTGATTTTTATGTGGAAAAATCAATTTCTAACACCAGACTGGAAAATTTCAGAAAATTTAGAAAAAATTGTTAAATTTTGGCCGAGATCCCAAAATCTTTTAATGATAAGAAACAACGAATTACATATTCGGAATCCTTGGAGAATAAGAAAATCAAAAATCGATTCAATTCTTTTTGATTTTAGTGACTGAAAAAATAAAATTCTAGGACCAGACTAGATTTCAGGAATTTTAGAAAAAATTGCTAAATTTTGGCCAATATTTCGAAAACTATTGACAACAAGTAAAAATTAATTAAATAATCGAAATCTTTGGACAATTTGACACTAAGAACTTTTCATTTTGATTCAATTTAATGATTTTTGGGGCCTTGAGAGATTATAATTCGAAAATTTGACCAAAATTTTCATCAAATTTTCGCCAAAATCTCAAAAACTATTAATAATAAATAAAAACCAGTTACATATGCAAAATCCTTGGACAATTTTCCACAAGAAAAGTCTAAATTCAGTTCAATTTTTTGATTTTTAAGTGAAAAAATAAATTTCTAACTCCAGACTAGAAAATTTTGAAAAAATTGCTAAATTATGGCCAATAACTCGAAAACTATTAGTGACAAGTAAAAATTAATTAAATAATCAAAATCCATGGACGATTTTATATTAATAATCTCTCATTTTGATTCAATTTAATGTTTTTTGTGACCTTGAGAAATTATAATTTCATAAAATTTTTGCCAAAATCTCAAAAACTATTAATAATACATAAAAACTAATTACATATTCGGAATCTTTGGACGATTTTCCTGATAAAGAAACTCTTGATTTCGCTTCAAGATAATAATTTGTGACCTTGAAAAATTACAATTCAAACACAAATTCTACAAGAAATTCAACATTTTAGTCAAAATTTTAAGGCTAAAAACTAATTGGACATTCGGAATCTTTGTCAATTTTACACAAGAAAAATGTAAATTCAATTCAATTTTTTGATTTTTATGTGAAAAAATAAAATTCTAACACCAGCCTGGAAAATTTAAAATATAACTCTTGTCAATGACTGTTAAAAAATGACAAATTTTGGCCGATATTTTGAAAAGTACTATTGATATGAAAAAGCTAATTACATATTCGGAATTCTTGGAAAATTTTGCATAAGAAAATCAAATTTCAGTTCATTTTTTTCAAAATTTGGTGACTGAAAAATTAAAATTCTAGGACTGGCCTAGATTTCAGGAATTGCTAAATTTTGGCCGATACCTCGAAAACTATTAGTGACAAGCGAAAACTAAACAATTGAAATCTTTGGACGATTTTACATTAATAATCTCTAATTTTGATTTAATTTAATGATTTTTGTGGCCTTAAGAAAATGTAATTTCAGAAACGGTTTTTGACAAATTTCATCAAATTTTCGCCAAAATCTCAAAAACTATTAATAATAAATAAAAACCTGTTACATATTCGAAATCCTTGGTCAATGTTACACAAGAAAAGTCTAAGTTCAGTTCAATTTTTTGACTTTTATGTGAAAAAATAAATTTAAACACCAGACTCCAAGATTTCAGAAAAAAATGCTAAATTTTGGCCAATATTTCGCAAACTATTAGTGACAAGTAAAAAATAATTAAATAATCAAAAACCTTGGACGATTTTACATTAATAATTTCTCATTTTGATTCAATTTAATGATTTTTTGTGACCTTGAAAAATTATAATTCGAACACTTGACCAGAAACGGTTTGATGAGTTTCATAAAATTTTCGCCAAAATCTCAAAGACTATTATTAAAAACAAGTTACGAAATCCTTGGTCAATTTTACACAAGAAAAGTCTAAATTCAGTTCAATTTTTTGATTTCATGTGAAAAAATAAAATTCTAAATGGACCAGACTGAAAGATTTCAGAAAATTGTTGTTAAATTTTGGCCGATATCGCGAGATCGATTAATGATAAGAAAAAACTAATTACACATTCGGAATCTTTGGACGATTTTCCTGATAAAGAAACTGATTTCGCTTCAATATAATAATTTGTGACCTTGAAAATTTACAATTCAAACAGACAAATTCTACAAGAAATCCAACATTTTAGGCAAAATTTTAAGGCTAAAAACCAATTGGATATTCGGAATCTTTGTCAATTTTACACAAGAAATATGTAAATTCAATTCACTTTTCTGATTTTTATGTGAAAAAATAAAATTCTAACACCAGCCTGGAAAATTTCAGAAAATTTGTTGTTGTTTAATTATGGCCGATATCGCGAAATCGATTAATGATAAGAAAAAACTAATTACACATTCGGAATCTTTGGACGATATTCCTGATAAAGAAACTGTGACCTTGAAAAATTATAATTCAAACAATACACAAATTTTACAAGAAATTCAACATTTTAGTCAAAATTTCAAAGGTAAAAACCAATCGTATTGAACAATTTTGCGTAAGAAACATCGAGTTTCGGTCCAAAAATAAAGTTTACAATAAAAAAAAAAAAAACTCACCTTCCACAAGTTTAGAGGTATTGAATGTGAAACAACGAGACTCAAAATGACAATATTTATTTACGCACAACAGTGCGTACATTCACAAACTGCAGTTACTATAATCCTCAATACCGAGGTCGCAATAGAAATTACTATGAAAGGTTTATAAATGTTCCATTTTACACTCACATAAGAAAAATAACAGAACATCGGTCCGAAAACCTATGAGAAAAACAATCGAAATTTAACAATATATTTCTCATATATCTACAAGATTTATAGTGATTTAGTTATATATTACATACTTTAGTCTAATGAGGGATGGGCGTAATAGGGCCCTAATGTTTGTGTATTTTCTCTTTGTTTACAGCAGCAAAGGTTATGCATCGGGGCGGCGGTGTTCGCAGAGCCACTCCTCACAACTCCACGAACACAACTAGATTTGAGCTCGTCATGCACAACTTAATTAGTTTTTTCTCTATCTAAAACACAACTTGCTATACCTTATATAAAGCTCTCTAAGTGAACATAACAGTGCGTCTAAAAAGTTGGTAGTGAGTGGCACTGGCTGTATAATTTGTGACTTCAATAAATAAAAATTGAATTGAAAAAAAAATTGCACTGTACAACAATCCGTGAACCTAAAAGTCTAGATGAGTGCCTAACTTAACCTACGATTAGTTCAAGTTATACAGCCATCTGTACACAAATATTACATTCGCCCCTTCCTGGCACACGATACAAAATAACTGTGGTTAAAACTGTGTTTGGACGTGACACAATTTTAACATGTTGGTCGATTAGGTCCCAGCCCAAAGTTACTGCTGCAAAAAATAACTTTGGCACTTGTTATAAAACACAACGAATTTTTTTAAACGATTTTATTCAATTCAATACACTAGTCGCCAGCGTCGCGCACCACGGTCCAAACACAAACCGTAACCACATCTGCTTAGCTATTTACAGTTGACCAGTTATACTATAGCACATTATTAACATAGTTCTGCTGTTCACAGCTACAAAACACCATAGATAGACTGTTAGTAGTAGACATTCACGATAATTTTTAATGTACACTCCTCCGAAGGCTCATGATGACGAGACAACCAACACCTCGCTTCTCTCCACACTTGTGGGGGTGGGGGGCACCTTCACACTGAAATTTGCCGCTACACCACACCATTTATTCAAACTGACTTAGTACAAAACTCAAACGAGCACTTTTAACGCTGATTTGCGAAAAAATTTTGAAATCATAGGTAATAGTATATTATTAAACGAGTGAGAAAGCGAAAATGGATTACAATACGAGCCGAGTGGAAATGACCATTTCTCACGCATTTGTGAAAAAAATTTGAAAATTGAAAAGTATGGAGAAAGTATTTAATTTTTTCTACAAATGTGGAGAAAATTATATAATCATTTTTTAAGATTAGAAAAAGTATAGTATTAAAATCGTGACAAATTGCCATTTCCACACATACCAGGTGAATAAAAAGTATGAAACCAAACGTTTTTTGCTTAAACTATTTATTTTTTGAATGATAAAGTACTATAAAAATGTAATGTTTTTTTTTCGAAATTTTCTTTTGTTTTTAACAAAAAAAATATTTTTTTTAAATAGCAACCCACTATATAACCATCTTTCTCATGAAGGTTATGATCTAAAGATAAAAACTATCTACTCTATATTTAATTTTTTTCAAATTTTTTTTTTTACATAAATTGCAATTTTGACAAAAAAATCACAAACTCAAAAATAAAACAAAATTTGGTTCTCAAAATACGATCACATTTTTTATATTATTTACTTTATATTAAGTTTTTATCTAAATTATCTAAATCGAAGAAAATGCAACAAAATAATGAAAATAAGACAAGATTTTGGAATTTATTCGTAGAAATTTTATAAAATGTATTTTTGCTTAAAAAATTATAGTAGTTACATTTAAAAAAGCCAAAAAAATCCTGAATTTACTATTTTTTGTATAAATTTAATAAATTTTTTAAAACAAGATTTACGTTAAGCAAAACAAATAAACTAAAATTAGAGGATAAAACCCACAATTCGAAAATTTGTAAAAAAAACATTCCAAACGTCATAATTAAAAAAAAACGACAAGATTTTCGTTGCAATTTCTCAAAAACAGACCTAAACTGTTTAAAACAATTTTTTTTTTAATTTTTAAAATAAAATTTTTGTCTGAAAAATTAAAGAATATGCATGATAAAATCATTCATATTATTTCAAGAAAATTATCCAAATCAACGAAGGTAAATCCAAATTTTGACTTTTTTGGTCCCAAATCGAAAAAAAAAAAATTATAAAATAACTAAACATATTTGTAAAAATTATCCAAATCAAAGATAATAAATTGAAATTTTTAGAATAAAAAGAATTATGTTAAACAAAAAAAAATTGACGACAAAATCCAACTTTCGCATATTTTAAATCTTAACATATTTTCCAAAAAAAGCCAAAATATCGTCGCAATTTCCAAAAACTGATCAAAATCATTCAAAACAACGTTTTTGAAAGTTTTTTTTTTGAAAAAATTCTTAAAATTAAATAGAGAATATACCTAAATGATAAAAACATTTGTGAATTTAATTTTTAAAATAAACGAAATTACTACAAAAAAAAAGATCCAAATCAACGAAAATAAACCCAAATAATGGAATTTAAGACAAATTTTGACATTTTTTAATTTAAAATATATAAAAATAGGTAAACATATGTGTAAAAAATTATCTAAATCAAAAATAAAGAATTGAAATAGCAAAATTAGAGCCAGGTTTTGAGAAATATTCAGCGAAATTTGTAGAAATGAGATTTGAAAAACACACTTAAATTATAGAACAAAATCCAAGTTTCGATATTTATAAAAAAAATCATTGAAACATCTTAACATATTTTCCAAAAAACAACAAGAGTTTGGTTAAAATTCCCTAAAAATTAACCAAAATCGTTTAAAACAAGCTTGATTTTATAACAATTTTGTACTCGTAAAAATTCTTAAAATAAATAAGATTTTTGTTTGAAAGAAAATAGAGAATATGAATAATAAAATCACTTTTGTGACGTAACTATTATTATAACGATTTAATAAAATTTGAGACAAATTTTAGCATTTTTTGGCCTCAAATCAAAAAAATTTTTCAAAAATATGTAACATATTAACAAACCCTTTTTTGAAATAGCTTTATTTTTTATTTTGAACAAAATTCTTCAAATAATAATAGAGAATATGAATGATAAAAACACTTGTCAAGTAAGCCCAAATAATATAATTTGAGGTAAACATATATTTGTCTAAAAAATTATCTAAATCAAAGATAAAAAATTGCAAAAGCAAAATTAGAGCCAGGTTTTGAGAAATATTCAACGAAATTTGTAGAAATAAGAATTTAAAAAAAGCAAAAAAACTTAAAAAACTACGTTAAAAACACTCAAATTAGAGGACAAAAATCTGGTTTCCATATTTATAAAAAAAAATCATTGAAACATCTTAACATATTTTTCAAAAACCGACAACATTTTGGTTAAAATTTTTCAAAAATTAACCAAAATCGTTCAAAACAAGCCTGATTTTATAACAATTTTGTACTCTTTTGTAAAAATTCTTAAAATAAGTACGATTTTTGTTTAAATAAAATAGAGAATCACTTTTGTGATTATTGAGAAATTATCCAAGTCAACAATTTAATAAGACTTGAGACAAATTTTAGCATTTTTTGGAAATTAAGAAGGAAAAAAACACAATCAAGTATGATTTCTTGTATAAATTTAAGTTAAAAAATTGTTAGACAAAACAATTACTTATGTGATATTATTATTCAATTAAACGAAACTTTTTTTGAAAACAAAATTTAAAAAATCTTTTGGAACAATTTCTGGAACAGCATTGTTAATAATATACAAAAATCCAGATTAAAAGTGCTCATTTTGACAATTCATAAGACTAATTCTATTAATAAAAAAATAATAATAATAATTTGGTGTTGGAAACATGCTCCAACTTACCATGCTATGAATGGGCGGGGAATTTTAGGCTGTTGTATCACTTTTTGCTGGGAGGACTATTATTTTGTGCCGGTGAATTTTTATTATGATTAAGTTCGAGTTCGGCTAACTTTTTCCATAATTCGTCTCGTTCCTTCTCACGTTTTTTCTCTCTATTATAAACAAAAATAAATAAAAAAACAAAACAACAAATTTATATAATCGCCTTACTTTTGCCTTTCCGCTTTATAACTAACTGTGAGTTCATCAAACAATTTCGAATTCATTTCCATAAATGTCTTAAGCACATTATAAACAAGTGCAACTATAGTTTGGTTCCAATGCTCTTTCGAAATTCGATACAATGCGGGAAACATAATCGGCATTATCACGTGATTGTTTTCTTCCATCAGCGACATTATGTACTCGTTGTTCCAGAAATACAAAGCACGTTCGGCCACCTAAAAAAATTAACTCAATTAATGACACAAAAAATAATTAAAAATTAAATTAATTACTTGAAAATGTGGACTTGATACGCATTTGGCGATTTGTCTAAACAACGGTTCTTGAATTCGTGTAAATTGTGATGGTTCAATAACATCCAATACTTCTTCAATTTCACCAAGAAACATCACCTCTTTTTGACTACACGTTTTCGGCCAGTATTTGAGCAAACCTCGTACTACAGGTTCCGTCAACGTTGGATCTTTTTCCAAAAATTGTACCACACAATAGGCAAGCTGTGCATGGTACAATGACAGGCACTTGACCTTATGCAAAGGTATGAGCACCTTCACCAGGAACTGTTTGTGTTCGGCTTTCAATGGTAACGCAAAACCATTTATAATCGAACCCAATATCTCCAACAGTTCACCAACGCCGTTAAAATGTTCAGTCTCATACACGAACCTGCAAACACAACAACATTACCAACCCAAAAAAAATTTCTAATACTCTTATTAATAATAATATAATCTTAAATACCAAAAAAAAAAAATGCTGCAGTTTTAAAATTCAAGTATTTTTTAAATTTTGAAAAAAAAGTCATTAACTTGGCAACAAAGCATTTAGTTAAACAAATGAAGGAAAAAAAAACCTAGTCATTAAAAAAAATTGAAAACGGCCCTGGAATAATGTATAATTGGTTGCATAACCAACCACGAGTCACTAATTGTTTCAGTAATCTTTCATTTTTCAAACATCTTTACTAAAAAATTCTAATACTTGACAAAACATATGTTTTTATAACCATTTAGGAAAGCAATTAAAATTGTGAAAAAAATTGTTAATTGTCGTTAAAAAAATTGAATACCGACCTAGAATAATAAAACCCCTAACATCTTTTATAACAATTTCATATTCAATTGAATTGAATTGAATATGATGCAGATTAGAAAAAAATATTTTCCCAATTTTTATAAGACAGTTTGTCCCATCTTGTATAATTGGTTGCATAATCAACCACAATTCACTTCATTTAGTAATTCCTTCATTTCGAAAAATCTTTACTGATCGTAGACAAAAACAAAACATGGTTTAAACGCATTTTTCAAAATAAAATTAAATTGAAAAAAAAAAAGAAATACCATGAATAATCATTAAAAAAATATCTTAATAATTTTTTGACTTTTAAACATCTTTATTAAAAATTCTGGTCGTTGATGAGAAACAAAACGTGATTTTAAAGCATTTTACACAATAAATAAAATTGTGAAAAAAAAGTACTTCAAATGAAATAAAACAATTTTTTTTAATACTGTCCTGGAAAAATGGAACCCTATACATATTTCATTACAAAATACTTTTATTTAAAGCAACCTAGACAACTATTTAAAAGAAAAAAAAATTTTTTTTTTCTACTTTTCATAATATTGACAAGATTATTAAATAACCAGTCCTGTATAATTGGTTGCATAGTCAACTATAACTCACCAAATTTGGTAAATTCTTCATTTTCAAAAATCTTTACTAGAAAAATTCGTAAGCAAAAAACGAAACATGGCTTTAGAATATTTTGCAAAATAAATAAAATTGGAAAAAAATTCGTCAATTATCAAAAAAAAAAATTAATACCGTCCTGGAAAAATGGAGCCCCTTACACATTTCAAAATAATTTTATTTGATTAGATTAGCCAACTATTTATTACAGAAAAAGAATTATTTTTCTACAAGATCATCTGATAATGTCCTACTTTGTTTAATTGGTTGCATACGCAACCACAACTCAATATTTCAATAACTTCTTTAGTTTTAAACATATTAACTAAAAATTCTAAATGTTGACAAGAAACAAGACATGGACTTAAAACATTTTGCAAAAACAGATGAAATTGTGAAAAAATTATAAGCCAATTGACATTAAAAAAATTTGAATACCGTCCTGAAATAATGAAATACCTTACATATCTCAAAATAATTTTATTTGATGCAAATTAGAGAATTATTTAATAGAGAAAAAGAATTCTTTTCCCATTTTTCATAATAGACATGATCATTAAATAATAACCACTCCTGTATAATTGGTTACATAATCAATTCACTATTTTTTCCCAATTTCCCCACTTTTAAAAATCTTTACTAAAAAAATCTAATCGTAAACAAAAAACAAAACACATTTTAAAGCATTTTGCAAAATAAATAAAACTGAAAAAATCAGTCAATTATCATTTAAAAAAAATTGAATATTTGTCTTGGAAAAATAAAACCCTTTACATATTTCAAAATAATGTTATTTGATGCAGTTTAGACAACTATTTAATAGAAAAAAAAATATTTTCCTACTTTTAAATAATAGTGTCATCTGATATGTATAATTGGTTGCATAACCACTCACTAATTCCTCCACTCTCAACAAGTTTAATAAAAAAATTGTCTCTTGTCGATGATAAATCACCATTTTATTGCTATTAAAACAATATGTTAGTTTTAAATATCGTCACCGAATAATAAATAAAATTAATTGCAATACGAGTACGGTTTTTGTCACGTCCTTGATCTGTATTTTTCCTCCTCGCATCACGTTGAAACATCAATATTTGCATACTTGCATCATAATAGTCGATTTTTTCTTTTAAATATTTAACTAAATTCCAATAATTGTGTAATTATTATACACCTTCCAGGACGTCGCAAAATAATAGCATTTTAAATAAATAAATAAATAAATCATCAACAGTAGGGTCAAAAGTTTGCGTAATAATAATTTTTACTATAATACGTAACGTGTTGTTATTTCATTAGTTTTATCATCAAACTTGAAATTTATCGTTTCGTGGAATTTTTCAGCAAACGAGAGAGAGAGAGAGAACCAACTAATTAAAGCTTAGAGATAAACTTTAAAACGAAAAATAATAAATAAATTGAGTGATAAATACCTAAGGAATATGTTGTTTATTTGTTTGCGAATAAAGGCCCTTAGCCCAAGGAACTTTCCATAAATGCGGTGCAGGACCGTCTTTAGAAAATCCCTTTCTCTTGGATCTTCCGAATCGAATAATTCTAATAATTGTAGAACAAATTTCTGATCAATCACACGTTTTCCTATGGCCGGTTGAAAATCCGAACTTTCCAAAAATCGCAAAAAGAATTCGTAAACTAGCTGAAGATGTGGCCAACTTGCTTCCAGCGTGGGGTCATCCTCTTCCGGATCGAAATCGGGATTTTCACTGGGAGGCAGTGTTCGAAAAAGATTGGCCGAAATCTACACAACACAAAAATAATAAATCAACAACATAAAGGTGATAAAGTCACACTAAAACAAACTGTGTCAATCTGAATTAATTGGAAAACCTGAAACGAAAATATTTACTTTGACCTCAGCCTCGCATTGATCGCTTCTGCAGGCCGGAATTTTTGTTATTTCTTGAATTTTTTTTTTCTACTTCAGCTTAAATTCTTCCACAAGCCTTAGTATTACATAATAAAAATAAAATTTTGAATGTCAATGACCAAAAGTGAAAAAATTGTGGAATTTTGAAACAAAATTATGATTAATTATTTTCCTGCTTAAATTTAGAAATTATAAAAATGTTTTTTTTTTGCGTTTATTTTCTTCAAATTTCTGTTTTTTGTTGTTTCATCACTTTTATCCTTTCTGTGCTATTTAAATTCACAGATTTTAAACAAAAAATTACTTCTTTTAAATAATTATTATTATTCACTGGCTCTAACGAGTCGCCCATGTCAATATTTCCTATGGTTGCCATAGAAATGCATTGTAACTATGGAAACGAAAAATAAAAAACATCATAGTGACAATAGAAAATTCAGTCCAGTGGCGGGTAGTCAATTTTAGATAAAGTTTTTGTTAATTTAAAAAAAATCACATAATTTAATTTAAATACCTTTTGTTTTTTTTTCTTAAAAAAAATCTACTTCAGCTTAAATTCTTCCAAAAGCCTTAGTATTAATAAAAATAAAATTTTGAATGTCAATGACCAAAAGTGAAAAAATTATGCAATTTTTAAACAAAATTATGATTTTTTTTTCCGCATAAATTTAGAAATTATAAAAATGTAATTTTTTTAGTTGTTTCATCACTATTATCCTTTCACAGATTTTAAACAAAAAATTACTTCTTTTAAATAATAATTATTAATTAAATACAAAAATTACTTTCACTGGCCCTAACGAGTCGCCCATGTCAATATTTCCCATGGTTGCCATAGAAATGCACTGTAACTATGGAAACGAAAAATAAAAAAAAGTCATAGTGACAATAGAATATTCAGTCCAGTGGCGGGTAGTCAATTTTAGATAAAGTTTTTGTTAATTAAAAAAAATCACATAAATTAATTTAAACACCTTTTTTCTTCTTAAAAAAAATCTACTTCAGCTTAAATTCTTCCACAAGCCTTAGTATCAATAAAAATAAAATTTTGAATGTCAATGACCAAAAGTAAAAAAATTGTGCAATTTGTAAACAAAATTATGATTATTTTTTTTCCAATTAAAATTTAGAAATTATAAAAATGTTTTTTTTTGCGTTTATTTTCTTCAAATTTCTGTTTTTTGTTGTTTCATCACTTTTATCCTTTCTGTGCTATTTAAATTCACAGATTTTAAACAAAAAATTACTTCTTTTAAATAATAATTATTATTCACTGGCCCTAACGAGTCGCCCATGTCAATATTTCCCATGGTTACCATAGAAATGCACTGTAACTATGGAAACGAAAAATAAAAAACGTCATAATGACAAAAGAAAATTCAGACCAGTGGAGGCTAGTCAATTTTAGATAGTTTTTGTTAATTTTAAAAAAATCATAAATTAATTTAAACACCTTTTTTTTTCTTAAAAAAATCTACTTCAGCTTAAATTCTTCCACAAGTCTTAGTATTAATAAAAATAAAATGTTGAATGTCAATGACCAAAAGTGAAAACATTGTGCAATTTTTAAACAAAATTAGAATTAATTTTTTTCCGCTTAAATTTAGAAATTATAAAAATGTAATTAATTTTTTTAATGTACTACGTTTTGTGTTTTTCTTCAAATTTCTGTTTTTTAGTTGTTTCATCACTTTGATCCTTTCACAGATTATAAACAAAAAATTACTTCTTTTAAATAATAATTATTAATTACTTTCACTGATCCTAACGAGTCGCCCATGCTAATATTTCCTATAGTTGCCATAGAAATGCACTGTAACTATGGAAACGAAAAATAAAAAAAATGTCATAGTGACAATAGAAAATTCAATCCAGTGGCGGGTAGTCAATTTTAGGTAAAGTTTTTGTTAATTAAAAAATCAGATAATTTAATTTAAACACCTTAAAATGCCAAAATAAATATTTTCAATTATTCAATCATTATTAACAGAAACGCTCATTTCTAATGTTTTCCAGTATAATTCTAAAAAAAGTAACAACAGACTTTTATGTACGTTTCATACAGGTATTTTCCATTAAAACAGTGACTTAAAATAGAAACAACACTTAAAAATAGCGGATAAAAATTCGAGAACAATAGTGTTACAATTTCCTCAATCAAATCGATTCGTATTTCCTTTCAAAAAAAATTTTTTTTAGTGACATAAAACCAGACACAGTTTATTTCGTCTCTCAATGATCCGTTGCATGAATCACAGTATTTTTGTCACTTATCCAAAATTTTTCCTCATGCCAAAACTTTTACTTACCATTTTAATAATTTCTGGATAGACGGGTTCGGTCAAAACTCCTCTACCACCAGTTATATAATCCACTAATTCATTCAAAGTACAACGTTTCACTTCTTTTCCTTTTAGATCCGCCACCGGATCCATAAAATCGAATGGCACACAACATTGTCTAAGTTTACGTATAAACAATTCTTCCTGTTCGGATGCCGGAACATCTGAAACGATTAAATAAAAAAAATTCGTTAAAAAAATAATAAATAAATTTATCGATTGCGCCGAAAGAGGGACACCCACGTGCATGATGATAATTCATACACACAAGGTTCACGACGCTCTGCGCTGCCTGATTACAATCATAATATTTTTAATTATTTATCTACTCATTGTGACAAATTTCATTCAAATGTGCTAATCAAACGACAAAAAAAACCTATTTACAAACTCGTTACAAAGTGCTAAATATTCAATTGCTTGCTGTTTGAAAAATGAATTATTGCTTAAGCCTTGAAACTATTTCGATCGACTTGTACCACCCGAGAGACATATTAACGGATTTATTGTCCAAGAAAAATTAAAAAAAAAATCTGAAGTACATTTAATTTTTTTTTAATAAATAAACCATGGAAATTCCATAACAAACAGTCGTAAATTATTTAAAAATAGTATAGTATAATTGTTGCATTTTTTCATGTGCCGTTGGTGTTTATAACAAATTGCGTGTGTAAAATAAAAGAATAATTTAAAAAAAGATAAAAAATCACCTAGTGAGTAGATGAGAGAAAAAAATTAATTCAATTTATTTCAAATTATTTTTGAATGAAAACGGATGTGTGAATTTTTCGCGACGCCATTTTATTTTTAGAATTTCCTCTCTGACTGTGTGTATGTGTGTGCTTCACCTACACGTCGTTTCGAAAATATCTCGCAAAGAAAAACACAAATCGACGTCATCGTTCATTCAAGAATTCACAATTAAATTTTTACGTCAATCTACCATTGATTTTTCTTTTGTTTTTTCTAAATCCATTCACGGGTTACTTGATCTAGGTGACCTGATTTTATGTAATTGTATATTTAAAAGGATCAGGATCGTTGCACACGAGAGAATTTTATTCCCTATATACATTACAAATAAAAATAGAACAAAATAAAATATTGATAGATTGTCATAGAAGACAACTGCGAAATTGATAAAAGAATGTTGGCAATATTCCAAACTTGGAGAGTAATCATTTTGTCGATAAGAGACACACCTGAACAAAGAATAGACACTTCTAATATGTCATTATTCGGTTTAGAAGCGACACAATTTTACTCCATTGTACGGTGTGTTCGTCTTTTGTCAATCACACCAAAAACACAACAATTGAACAAATCGATCATAGTGGGCGGAGGGGAAAACTGTCAAACGTCTAAAATTTGACATAATTTTTTAGTTTTTTTTTTGTTTTAGAATTACCCAACTCTAAAACTCGTTCCAAACTGTTATATTACATATATTAGGTTTATTGTTGCCTAGCAACCGCCCTTGACTTGACACATTTGGCCTTGAGTGTGCACAATTATTTGAAACGAGTTTTACATTATATTGCTGTAAGAAATAACAATTGACAGTCCAATAAATCGATCATAGTAGGCAGGAAAACCAACAAATGTCAAAAACTCGAAAAAAATTTGACATAATTTCACCAAAAATCAGTTCTAAAACTCGTTCCAAATTGTTATACAGGCTGCTCCCCAACACGCACCCCAGAGAAAAATGCCATGTAAAGTAAGATACCAGGAACATGGAAAAAATGTTAAAAAAATTCTATCAATAAAAATTTCGAAGTTATGAGAGCTTAAATTTTGCACTTTGACTCTATTTATTTTTATTTAGTAATTTTAGTACCTTTACTAAATAATTATTAAAAACCATATTCAAGATTATCAGTATCATTAAATAGACTCTAAAAAATGTCAAATGTTAAAAAATAAATGTCAAAGTTTTTTGACAGATAGAATTTTTTAAACATATTTTTCATGTTCCTGGTATCTAATCTTACTTGGAATTTTTCTCTGGGGCACGAATTCTGGCGCACCCTGTATATCAACATATCAATTATCTCTTAATTTTTGGTTTACTGTTGCCCAGCAACCGAAACTATGACTTGACACATTTGGCCTTGACTATGCATAATTATTTGAAACAAATTTTATAAAATAAAATATTATATAATATAAAATAGCAACAATTGACAGTTGAATAAATCGACCATAGTAGGCGGGAAAACAATCAAATGTCAAAAATTCGAAAAAATTGATATAATTTATTACCAAAAACATATTTAAACTCAAAAAAATGCATATTTCATGCAGTAAAATTTAAAATAAAATCCACTCTATGTTATTGAAGGGTTTGCTAAATCCTAGGTAGTATGTTTTTTTTTAAGTATTATCAAACTCTAAAATTCGTTTCAAATTGTTATATTATATCAATTATTTGTTAATTTTTGGTTTTCTGTTGCCCTTGCAACTAGACTTGACATATTTGGCCTTGACTGTGCATAATTATTTGAAGCAAATTTTATATTGTAAAAAAGCTGTTTTAATTATTTTTTAATTTATTTGCTCTAAAATTTCACTAAAATGTGCCTTAATTACCATAAAAATCATACTTAACCACAAAAACAAACAAAAAGGAAGTAAATGAACTATTTCAAAAACTAAACAAATTTAAAATTACTATAATTTTTTTAATAAATCCACTTGATTAATATCAGTGATTCAACTGTTGCCTAGCAACATTTGACACATTTGGCCTTGACTGTGCATATTAATTTGAAACAAGTTTTACATACCCTTACACAAAATTACTTTAAAAATTATGATTTTTTTATAATTAAAACATTTTTAAAGAGAGAAGAAAAATAAAAAATTCATTAACAATAAATACATTACTTTTAACGGCAAGCTGTATTTTAAACGAAATTAATTAATTAATTTTGACAAAATCAATATTTGCAATGACAGATTAGACATTTTTTGGCTTTGTCACGTGAGATTTGTGTCAACTTTTGTTTTCCATGGTCCTCTAGAAAAGCATCAATGTTGATTAAAAAAGCTGTGTAATTATTTTTTAATTTATTTGCTCTAAAATTTCACTAAAATGTGCCTAAATTACCATAAAAATCATACCTAACCACAAAAGCAAACAAAAATGAAGTAAATGAACTATTTGAAAAACTAAACAGATTTAAAATTACTATAATTTTTTTAATAAATCCACTTGAGTAGACTGTTTTACTGTTGCCTAGCAACATTTGACACATTTGGCCTTGATTGTGCATATTAATTTGAAACAGGTTTTACATACCCTTACACAAAATTACTTTAAAAATTATTAATTAAAACATTTTTAGAGAGAGAAGAAAAATAAAAAATTCATTAACACTTTCACGACAAACTATATTTTAAACGAAATTAATTAATTAATTTTGACAAAATCAATATTTGCAATGACAGATTAGACATTTTTTGGCTTTGTCACGTGACATTTATGTCAACTTTTGTTTTCCATGGCCCTCTAACGAAAACGCATCAATGTTGATTAAATGAAAAAAAAAAAATCCGAATTAGTTTGTTTTTCTCTATGAAATTGCCGTCCATTCAGTGTAAATCCCATCAAAATAGTCAATTGGTGCAAGAAATCAATAAAAATAACTGACAGTCCTGTACACCGTTCCTGACCTCGCTTTATTTTGACAAGTGACATTTATTGGTAAACTTTTGTTTTCCACGGCTGGCTTGAAGCCTCCCGGATGTCGACATGAATGTCAGTCAAGGGGGCTGTGTCGCCCCCTTGCCCGATCGACGGTCACGTCGCGATGCCCCCCGGCCCCCGCCTCCTCCTCACCTTTGAGCAGCGGCAGCGGCTGCAGCTCCACATCCTGCGAGTTCCTGTACCTGGAGCTGCCCTGCGACTTCTTCGTCTTCTTCTTGAGCGAGCGCTTGGCGAAGGGATCGATCCTATCGACGAACGCCGTGGTCGACATGCTGGCTACTCGATCTGGTTTACGCGCGCGACATTTCACCTGGACGTCTACGTCAAACGGCACCAGCCCCCTTCGAACGCATCCTCAATGACAAGGTGCACGCCCAAACCGGTGGGAAGAACCGCAGCGGAGCGCCGATCGAGGGGTCCTCGCGCACCAACACCACTAAGAGTTAGAAAACGGGGAAAAGACGCTCGAAATCGAACAACTGCCCAACGAGTCCAGTATTTTCGCCCGCCATCAGCTGGTGGCTTTGACACAAAATACTCGGGTTTAGCCGATCCATGCGCGGTAAGAACACACAAACATCGCCAAGGGGGAGCGAAACACGCGATTCTGCACAGGGGGGCCACCAACACGAGCTTTTTCGACGATTTTTCGGGATTTTTACGCGATTTTTGCACGAACCGATGCCGTAAGTACCTAGGGCTGAAAATAGATGGGGGGTACTCGCGACACAAAACCACAACTAGTTTCCAACTCAAACTCGCAACAAATCCGACCGCAACAACACCAAACGCAACGAAAACTAACGCGGATTTTTATAAAATAACGAAAGGAGGCCACAAAGTCCGATTTTTCTTAATTTATCACCAGCTAGTTCGTCAATTGACTCCGCAGTTGCTCGACACGACCAATCACAAGCCGGTTTTCGTGCCTCCCGACCAATCCAACGCCACTACAGACGGCCATCTTCTCACAAAATTGCCGTTTAATTTAAATTTCGAAAAAATTAAAACACATTTAATTCAACTCAAACTTTATTCATTTATCAACACCAAAAACCGACATTGCTTTTCCCCCAAAGATTTTTTTTCTAAAAAAGTACACGTCGGAAAAACTCGACCAACCAAATTTTGGGCATAAATCATTTAATACTCATTTTGCTCAATAAATCAACTCAAAATTACAACCAAAATTTAAACCTTAAATAATAGAATTTTTGTAATATTTGTAACCAAATAAACCACCTAAATCTAAAATGCAATTATAACAAATTACGAGTTTAAATACTTAACTGGTCGACTGTAATGTCCTGTCAAATCAAAAATTGCAAAAATTACACTCGACCAACCAAATATTAAACATCAACTAATTTATACAATTTTTTTTAAACAAATCGACACTAAAACCGGTAAAATAATACTAAATTGTTAGGCTTGTTATCAAATCAAAGATTTTAAACCCAAACCTGTGTTTATTAACGTAAATTGTAACTAATTTGGGGTTTAAAGCCCCACTGGGCGACTGTAATATCCTGTCAAAGTGTGCCCTAACCTCACATTCCGCGATGATACTCCCGTGCCCCGGCTGGTACTGCGGGCGTGTGCCCCTCCCTAATGGCACTCTCAGTGCTTGTGGTTCCTGCCCCCGGGGCTTCCGGCGCAACGACACCACTTTTATCTGCGAGCCGTGCACCGACAGCCCCACATTCTACGACTGGCTTTATCTGGGCTTCATGGTGCTCCTGGTCCAGATCTTGCACTGGTTTTTCATCGATATGGTGTCAATGCGACGCAGGTGAGCCCCCTTGTCGCCCTCTCACGCCCCAACAGTCTGTTCCAGCTTCAAAAAGGACGTTTTAATCCTCCACTTGACGGCTCTTGTGGAAGTGGCCGTTTCGGGGCTGTTGGCGGTGCTGTTCACCCACCCCTTTGGCGAGTTCCACGTGAGGAATTGTCGGGTGCGGAGTCTCGCCGACTGGTACACTTTGGTGCACAATCCGGCCCCCAATTACGAGAAACGGGTGCATTGCACGCAAGAGGCGGTGTATCCTCTGTAAGGGACATGGGGGCTATTTAACAGGTTATTGAATTGAGGGGTTTTAGGTACACACTCGTTTTTATTTTTTATGCCCTGACTTTGGTTGTTATGCTCTTGATACGGCCCTGGGTGTGCAGGAAGTATCTCCCAAGACAGAGCAAAATGTCCATTTATGCCGCCATGTACTACATACCGATTCTAGTCGTGGTTCATGCCCTAATTGGGGGACTCCTTTGTAAGTTTGACACGAAAAAACACAAATTTTGATTAATTTTTTTCCAGATTATGCGTTCCCAATTCTAGTTGTTATTTTATCAGTTATTTCATGTGCTTATCACTTTGCCCTCAAAATCAACCAATCAATTCCTTCATTGATTATCACCACAGTTGTAGACCCGAGAAATGTGGTGATTTTAGTGGGTCATTGGTGTTTACACGCTTATGGTTTAATTTCAATAACGCAATTAAGTGACCCTACTTTTCACTCATTATTGTTACTGTTGGTACCACTGCCGGCGTTTTTTTACATTTTTACGGCCCGATTTACAGACCCCACGATATTTACTTAATTTATTAAAAAAAACAAAAATTATTTTTTCTCGTCCTGAACCCTTTGTTCCAAATCGGTGATCAACGAGTCGATTTCCTCGAGCGAAAAAACTTTTTTCTTCACAAATGTGTGTTTTGTTTTGTCCTAAAAATTTTGTTCAAAAATGGCCAAATCGGGGATTTACCCACCCAAAAATTGACATATTCGGGGGAAATCGCCTCGAGGTGGAGCATCCGCTCTTCGAGTTTCTTCAAACGTGTGTATATGTCTCTGGGGGTTGGTGTGGTCAAGCTTAGTTGGAGTTCGAGGTTTTGGAGACGCTCCTCGACCCCATTTTGGGGGATATACTTGGTTAAATAGTCGGAATTAGTTTGGTCACGATGATACGTGTTTAAGACTCGACTAACTGCAAGGTTTTTGAGATTAAAAGTGGTTTCATGGGGGCTACAAACCTTGCAAATGTCCTTTGGAGTCTTTGCGTTTTTGTAAAACAGCATCGACTCGAGCACAGTTGCAATCACTGGTGCAAAACTCCCTCACGTTGTTTATATTAATCTCGTTTCGTTTCATTTCCATGAAATTCTCGATTCGTTTGTTTAGATCCGAGTTGGGGGCCTTGATTTGGATCAAATGGGGCGGGATGTGGGGGGCTTCGACGCGGGGTTCGGTCTCTAGTTTGAATTTTTTCGGTTTGGGGGCTAAAAATGAGTGGTTTAAAAAATTGTTATTTTCTTTTTCAAATTAACGTGCATCAAGTAGCTTGTATAAGTCTAAACGCACCTTTAATTTAAAGGCCGGTTTACACAAAAAGTGTCATTAGTGTCATTCAAAACAAATTTAATCACATCAATTATGACAAAAATCTTTGTTTGTTACTCTCTGTTGTCAATTTTTTGTTACCTGGGGTACACATTTATTTGAAAAAATAATTTTTTGGGAAGATTGAGGTTAGGATTGGTTGAATTTTAGCATGGTTGCCACCTTAAAATGGTGACATTCAACGACTACTTCGATGCACATTTAATATGGTTTTATTTGGTGGCCCACCCACATTCTTTGTTTTGTTTCCATTGGGGGGCTGCCTCGGCGTAGACCTCCTTTTTCCAAATGGGGACGCACTCCTTCACCTTGTCGATGCACCATTCTGTGGCGTGGAGGGCGTCGGCGCGATGGGGGGCCGCGACTGCGATCACGATGCTCGCCTCTTTGACTGGGACAGCCCCCAGACGATGGTAAACCGCGATGTTGGCGATTTGGGGCCACTTGGTGCGCATCTCCTCGCAGACTTTCTCCAGTGTTTTCAAAGCCATGGTTTCGTAGGCTTCGTACTCCAACTTGAGGACGGTTTTATCGTCGAAGGTGTCTCGTGTGGTCCCCATGAAAATGGAGACAGCCCCACATTTCGGTGAGGAGACGAGGTCGGTCAATGTCTCGACATTTAGCTTGTCGTGGGTGAATTTCAAAAAGTTCATTTTGTGGGGGGTTAACCGCCGCTCAAAGGGGGGATCACTGCGAGTTCGTCGCCGGGTTTTAACACGATTTCGGTACTTTCCACGTTGCAGAATTCTTCGTTGAGGGAGAGGATGATGTTTTGGGCGATGTCGTGCAACAAATATGTGGTTATGAGCGTTTCTAAGAGGGTTTTGTACGAAATGGGGGACGGGAGGGCCAAATTGGAGGATTTTTTGCCCACGATTTCTCTCGATTTGGCGAAAAATAACACTTTCACGGGGACTAACATCACATGGGTGCTGCGCTTACATAATCAACGAATTGTTATTAAAAATAATTGGTTTTATCAAAATGAACGCAAACATAACCTCAATTTTTGACACTTGACAAATTTAAAATTTATTTATTTAAAAAAAAAATTATTAAATTGTTTTAATCTAGTAAAATTGTATTTAAGTGCGTGTTAGTTTACTGCAAGTTGGACCCTTTCAAAACACTTGTTTTTTTTTTTAATTAGAGATTTAAACATATGGCCTTGAAATAGTTTGTTAAAAATTCCGTGGCGCTGCGGGCGATTAAAACTCAGAGCCCTAAAACTTAAGAAAATAATAAAATATCAGAAAATTTGTAGTACTAGTTGGTAGTAAAGAGAGTACTTGGTTCCTATTAGCTATTTACTGTTTTTTTTTCTCCACTACAATAAGTTAGCATTATTTTGCCATCTATTTCAAAACTTTCGAATTACAAAAAGTTAGTAGAAGATTCCGCTTATACCGACCAAAAAATTTTTAATACTAGAAAAAAACAGGTCAAAATCTTTGTAATATTTGCGTTTTAAATGTACCTTTGAAAACAGGGCAAAATCCTTAAAAACAAACTGTTCTGAAAGGGCCCTACTTCTTCTTCGAAAGACTGCTTATTTTGACATAACCTCAATTTTTGACACTTGACAGGCGACAAATTCAAAAATTTTGATCAATTCTGTGTAAAACGCATTATTGTTAAATAAACTACCAAAAGCCACTATTTGTGGACAAGTTGACAATTATTTTTCCCCCACAACCCCTAAAATACAACTGCTATGACAACAATTGTTTGATCAATCAAAAAACACGATGGAGTCTTTGCAAAGGCCCCAAATCATCTGCCACGTCCAAAAAGCCCTAAACTACACCATCCACGACGTTAAGTGGATCCCCTGTTCGGCGAAATTCGTCTCAATTGGAGGCAAATCAAATGGGGCTGGAATCATCGAAACTTACTCAATTAGTGGTGAAGGAATCGAAAAAGTGTCAGAATTCGGGAAAAAAGACCACTTCAAATGTGGCACTTTCCACGCTTCGAGTCTACGAGACCGCCACCTTGCGACTGGGGACTTCAGTGGGCGACTCCAAGTCTGGTAAGCCCCCAAAAGTTTAGGCCAAACTTTGATTTTTCGTAGGGATTTGGAAGAGAATCTAGTCCCGATTTACAAATCGGAGAAGCACCGCGGGGTCATCAACGCCATTGACGGCGTCGCGGGGGCTGTCAGCGGGTGTGGGGCCCCTGAAATCGTCACCGGTTCAAAAGACGGTAATTTCACGGTTTGTAATCAAACGAATTAGAAGTTTGTTTAGGGGCGGTTATGGTGTGGGACGTCCGGCAGAAAGACACCCCCGTGGCCAAGTTCTGCGGGGGCTCCCAAGGCCGCGATTGCTGGAGCGTAGCCTTTGGCAACTCCTACAACAACGAGGAACGCGTCGTAGCCGCTGGCTACGACAACGGCGATTTGAAAGTCTACGACCTTCGTAGCATGGCAGTAAAGTGGTCGAAATGTCTCAAAAACGGGATTGTCTCCCTGCAATTCGACCGCAAAGACATCCCCATGAACAAGCTAGTCGCCACAACCCTCGAGTCGAAAATCTTCTGTTTCGACGTGCGCACGCAGCACCCCACGAGGGGGTTCGCGCAAGTGGTCGAAAAGGCCCACAGTTCGACCGTTTGGTGTGCGAGACACCTCCCCCAAAACCGGGAGATTTTCATGACCACGGGGGGCACAGGATCGCTGTGTTTGTGGAAATAGTAAGTGTGATAATGTGCAAAACGCAAACTGACTCATCTTCTAGTAATTATCCGACTCGGAGAGTGGAAAAAGACGCCGATGGACTGGAATATGGGGTTGCAGGGGAGCTGAACTTGCTACAAAACAGCACCTTGAGCGACCAACCCATCACGAGTTTTGATTGGTGTCCCGAGAAGGCGGGGCTCGCCGTGTGCTCGGCCTTCGACCAAACCATCAGAGTCCTAATCACGACTAAACTTAATTTGTATTAATTACCAATTTAATAAATAAGTGACCCTAACCTCAATCACTTGACTTTTGACAATCACGTGCCATTTTTGGGTCATGTGACCCAAACCCGGTCATTTGATTGGTCGAGTGTGACATTCACCACAAATGTCATTATTTATCTGTCAAAGTGACATTTCATCAATTCAAAGTTCAGTTTTTGGTGAAAGTTTGTAAAAATGGGTAACCGTTCGTCGTTGCTCCTTTGCGAGGAGGAAATCGCGCAAATCCAGGAGGAAACCGGATGTGAGTACCCCCATGTTGTGTTTACCCCCATTAATTTCAAATTTAGTCACCCCGAACCAAATCGAGCGTCTTTACTCCCGTTTCACGTCCCTGGATCGGGGCGATTGTGGGACTTTGAGTCGGGATGATTTCCTCCGAATTCCCGAGCTCGCAATTAACCCCCTGGGGGAGAGAATCGTCAATTCGTTTTTCCAGGAGGAGGGCTTGAACGACAGGGTGAATTTCAGGCAATTCATGCGAGTCTTGGCCCATTTTAGACCAATCAAGAAGAACAAGGAGAATAAATTGAATTCGCGGGAGGAAAAACTCAGATGTGAGTCAACCAAAGGGGTGATTTATTATTGTCACACTTGACTTTGCAGTCGCTTTCAAAATGTACGACCTTGATAACGATGATATGATCTCAAAAGAGGAGCTTTTGGCGATTTTGCACATGATGGTGGGGGCTAACATAAGCGAGGAGCAGTTGACCAGCATCGCAGAGAGGACTATAGTGGAGGCTGACGAGGATGGGGACCAAATGATTTCGTTTGAGGAGTTTTGTAAGGCTTTGCAACGGACAGATGTCGCCCAAAAAATGAGCATTCGATTCCTCAACTAGCCTGTGTTATGTATATGTGTAGAATATATTTTTTTTATTACAAGTGTAACACTTAACCACAACTATTTTCTTGTTATTATTGTACTTAATAAATAATAAAATAGTTTTAAGCCGTTGACGAAACCGCCAATTTCTTCAAATGTTCCATAAAGACTTGCAATGAGACGTCGTCGGTCAAAACGGGGGCTCCGCTGTCCTGAAACACAAAATTCGTCACTCGAAATGAAGCAAAAATGTTTTGAAACGAAGCGGACCGAAGACTAAACAAATTTACAAACTCGGTCAGTGTTGTCAGCTCAAAAAATAAAATTCACTAGAATTACACCAATTCTTAAAAAAAAAACTCAAAAAAAACAAAAATGACATCACTTTCGGCCTAAATTTAACATAATTTTGCAAAAAAACGCTATAAAAATGCAAAAATTATATAAATTCCAACTTAATTTGTTGATTCTTTGGTTTGTTTTGGCAAAATTTGGCGAAAAACCTGAAATTTTAGTACAAAAATGTGTTTAAAAACGTTTATGTCCAAATTTGGTTTTTGCCTTAATTTTGGTCTAAAACCAGTTTAGTCGAGTGAAATAAACAAATTTCAAATTTTTAAGTGTATTTGGCCAAAATTTTGTACATTAAATGAGTCTTTAGTTCAAAAACGAAGTAATTCGAGCGAAATAAGCTAAAAAATAATATCAGTTTCGATTTAATTTAGTAAATTTTAGCTTCTTTAAGCGAAATTGTCCAAAAATTTTTGTTTTTTATTTTGAAAACGTTCTTAAACACGCGATAAAGGGCAAAATAACACCGTCTTCGACATATTTTATTGAATTTTTCACTTGTTATTACCGAAATTTTTTAAAATAACTGTGTTTCTAGCTGAAATAGAACTATTTTTAACCAATTTGGTATTCTTCGATTTTTTTTTTTTTTTTTGAGAATATTTGTCAATATTTTTGATTGAAAAACGTGGAAACGGTGCAAAAATTATATAAATTCCAACTTAATTGGTTGACTTTTTGGTTTGTTTTAGCGAAATTTGGCGAAAAACATGAAATTTTAGTACAAAAATGTGTTTAAAAACGTTTTTTTTTTCCAAATTTGGTGTTTTATCGGCTTATTTTTGTCTTAATTTTGTTCAAAAATCAGTTTAATCGAGTAAAATAAACAAAATATCACTAATTCCAATTATTTTTGTAATTTTTAAGTGTATTTGGCCAAGATTTTGTAAATTAAATGAGTCTTTAGTTCAAAAAAGAAGTAAGTCGAGTGAAATAAGCTAAAAATTAATATCAGTTTCGATTTAATTTTGTAAATTTTAGCTTTTTTAATCGAAATTGTACAATTTTTTTTTTTAATTAAAAACGTTCTTAGATACGTGATAAAGGCCAAAATAACACCATTTTCGGCTTATTTTATTGAATTTTTCACTTCTTATTAACAAAATTTTGTAAAATAACTGTGTTTCTAGCTGAAATAGAATTATTTCTAACAAATTTGGTGTTTTTCGATTATTCTTTTTTGAGAATATTTGGCAAAATAATCAAGTTTCTGATTGAAAAACGTGGAAAAGGTGCAAAAATAGTGTCATTTATTTTTTTTAATTTACTAAATCAATAATTGTGAATTCAGTCGAAATAAAAGTGCTTTAAACTGAACCGGACCGCAGACTAAACAAATTTGCAAACTCGGTCACTGTTGCCAGCTTAAAAAAGAATAAATTCACCAGAATTACACCAATTTTTACCAGTTTACAAGATCACGATTTAAATCTTTCCAAAAAACACAATGAAAAAATCTCGAAAAAGACAAAGCCTAATTTTATGATTTTTCGGTTTTTTTTTTTGAAAAACGTGATTTTCAACATGATTTGTTGATTTTTGTGGTTTGTTTTAGAGAAATCTCGCAAAAAACTGAAATTTTAGTACTTAAAAGCATTTTCGACCAAATTTAGTGTTTTCTCGGCTTAATTTTACTCAAAAATCAGTTAAAAATCAAGTAATAACACAAAATTCAATTCGTTTTGTGATTTTTAAGCGTTTTGAAACAAGATTTTGCCTGTTTAAACGAAATTTTTCGAAACTTCTTATTTTTATCACCAAAGCGTGCTTAAACACTCGAAAAAAGTCAAAAAGAACACCGTTTTTGTGCTATTTTAAAGCGAACCGGACCGTAGACTAAACAAATTTAGAAACTCGGTCGGCTTCGTTTAACCCATCACCCCTTGATTAGTAACCACCCCCACCCCAAAAAAAAAATAAAAAAAAAAGTATACCGCACTCGCTGGTACTGCCTAAAACCCACCAAACACAAAATTAACACACAAAAACAAAAACGAAACGACTGGTACTCACCCCTCCATAAGCATACATATTATTATGTGTTTGACTCGGGTTGACTTTCGATAGTAAAAACCTGGCTTGGGAGCCCCCTTGTTCCGTATCGATGTATCTAGGCATGGGGAACCTCGTTTGGAGGATTTCCTGAGCATCATCAACGGGCGCTTGCAACAATTGCCGGAAATTCTCATACTCAGGCATGTCCTGATACTTGAGACTCCGCCACTGAGCGATTGTCTCGCCGTGAAAAATCAAAATTTGGAAAAATGTGTCCATGAGGAGGATTCGATCAGGTTGAATGGAACTGGTGTCGAGGAGGACGGGCTCGGGGGGCCCATTGAAACTATAACTGTAGAGAATTGGTTGGATCATGATGAGACTTTGGGTGAGGTCTTCGCGCATCAACATGTGACGGTAGAAGGAGGTCTCGTCGGGGGAGTTGTTGAAGACTTGGAGGAATTGGGAGCGACGCATATGGTACATGAATTGGGGGTAGAGACTGAAGTTTTCGCTCAAACGGAAACTGTTAGGGTCGTCTTTGTTGTATTCGCCGAATTTTTGACACTACAATTGGAGGTTTTAGTTTTTTTTTTTTTTGGTTGTTTGGTTGGTAAATGTGTTACCAGACGGATTAACATGCGATCGACCCATCGCAAGACATCGGGGCTGTCGTCGGATTCGGCCCGATAAACGGCCATTCGGGCCATTAACACGGCCGCTGATTCCTGGTCAAAGCCGGCGCTGATATGGTGGATGTTCGCTGTGGCGTCGGCCCAATTTCGGGCCACTGTTGTCACCCGAATACGTCTCTGGCCACTCGAATGCTAAGAAAAAAAAAATAACGTATTCAAAGAAAAAAATTGGATGTGGCAACGTTGTCTTGCATTGTCATTGAACAACAGAAAAAGTAGTAACCGTTTCCTAGGTGATAAGTATTGTTACCATGACAACAGCTAAAATTAATGCACAGTGTTGTCATATTTTCAAACTGTAATTTTTTTCATGAGTATTTTTTTAAATTCAAATACAAATATAAATGTTGAAATCATATTTTTAAATTCACAAATTAATAAAACAGTGATATTTGTCGATAATTGCGAATTTAAAGACAATTTCCGGGTCAGGGTGTGATTTTCCTCGAATAAACCCCATTTTGTTTATGAAATTTTTCAAAAATATAACTTTTCTGGTGTAGAATGGGCCGCAGAATCGAAATCCGAAAGAATTATTGCGATACGACTAACAGTTTTAAATGTATAGCCAAAAATGTGGTTGCTTTGAAAATTTACTCAATTTTAGTCAGTCATTTCAAAATTTTAATATATAATTTTAGAAAAAAAGACAATTCCCTTTTAAAATAATCCCAAAAATAGGAATCAAAGAAAAAAATTGGATGTGGCAACGTTGTCTTGCATTGCCATGGAACAACAGAAAAAGTAGTAACCGTTTCCTAGGTGATAAATATTGTTACTATGACAACAGCTAAAATTAATGCACAGTGTTGTCATATTTTAAAACTGTCATTTTTTTCAGTAAATTTCAGTAAATATTTTTTTTTTAATTCAAATACAAATATAAATGTTGAAATCATATTTTTATGAAGTTCACAAGTTAATAAAATAGTGAAATTTGTCGAAAATTGCAAATTTAAAAACAATTTTCGGTCAAACTGCGACTTTGCTCGAATTAACCCCATTTTGTTTGTTTTTTTCTAAGACCCTTTATGAAATTTCTTAAAAATATAAGTTTCTTGTGTAAAATGGGCCGATGAATCGAAATCTGAGAGGATTATCGCAATACAACTAACAGTTTTAAAAATATAGCCAAAAATGTGCTTCTTACAACAATTTACCCAATTTTAGTTTTAAGATTTTCGAAAAAAAGACTATTCTCTT